CAGAAGGTCTCCCCTGAGCCTCCTTTGCTCCAGGCTCAGCACCCCCAGCTCCCTCAGCTGCTCCTCCCCACACTTGGGCTCTAGACCCTCACCCAGCAGCTACACCGGCCTTCTCTGGCCACGCTCCAGCCCCTCAAGGTCCTTCTGGGAGTGAGGGGCCCAAAACTGAACCCAGGATTCAAGGTGTGGCCTCCTCAGTGCCAAGTCCAGGGCGACGATCTCTGCCTTAGTCCTGCTGGCCACACTAGTGCTGCTAGAAGCCAGGATGCTGGTGGCCACCTTGGCCAGCTGGGCAGACTGCTGAGGTCTGGGAGGACAGTGGGTCTGCCAGTCAGGGACCACAGGCTGGACAGGGTCCCAGGATATTGAATTCTGCAGCAGGATGTTGCTGTTCTGCATCCTGAGTCCTTCTTTATCCCCTACAGGGGCTGCCCCTGCCCCAAAGCCCCTCACAGCAGGGGAGGGCTCTGGCTCTGCCACTCTCGCCTGCATTGTTCTCTCCTCCAAGGTAAAGAAGCCTGTGAAGAAGCAGCCCTCAGAGTTGTCAAGGAAACCAAACCAGAAGGAGAAGAGGGGCCGAGCAGAGGAGAAAGCACGGAGCAAGTCAGCACCTCCCCTCCCCACCTCGGGGCTTCCCACCTCTGGGGACAGGGCCCTTCCCAGCGTGGGGGTGGGACCCCCATGGAGCTGCCCCGGGGCCAGCAGCACCCCTGGAGGGGCCAGGCTCTTCACCTGCCCCTGTCTCCTGGAGCTGGAGGAGGTGTTGGGGGCACCAGGCTGAGCTTCCCTGGTGTTTTCCATCTCATAGGGGCAGAGCCTTGGGGTATCACTTCCGGGTTTGGCATTTCTGCAATCCTGGGGAGCTGGGGTGTGGGGGAGCTGCTGTCTCCAGGCTCCTGGAGAGCTGGGAGATGTGTGTGGAAGCAGGGGTGGAGTGGCAGGGCATGGGGGGAGGCACCTATGGATGCCATCAGCCCTCCTGTTGGGCCAGTGTTGAGTGAGGGCTTCCACCTGCACGTTCTCACCTCCTCCCTTCTCCTCCCACAGACCTCTGAAAGTGGAACGAGGCCGGAAGAAATCTGACCTGATCCCTGAACGGAGGGTGGAGAAGAAAAAGGGTGAGGGAGTCCTTTCTTTGCCCTCACAGAGGGGAGGAGAGGGGAAGAAGGGATCTGGGGGAGGGATCTTTCCCACAGGGATCAGAGTGGTGGTGCCAGGGCCCTTCCCAGCACTGCCTTGGCCCCAGCGTGGTGTTGGGAAGTATTTACAGGGAGTGCAGAGACACTGAGCTCCCCTCCCCTCCCACTCCTGGCACACCCAGCCCCTGCTCTTCAGAGAGGCCCCTGGGGCTGTGTTTGGCCTTGGGCACGCAGGAGGAAACCAAACTCTTGCTGGGGGAGAGGTCCAGGGCTCTCCTCATGCCCTGGGATGTCTCTCCTCCTCCCCAGAGCCCACGGTCGAAGAGAAACTTCAGAAACTTCACAGCGAGGTCAAGTTTGCCCTCAAGGTGGACAACCCGGTGAGTGCCCAGGAGGTGGGGGAAGGTCCCTTCCTGCCTGCTGGGTGCCATCAGGTGCCCTCAGGGGAGACTCCCAGCCAGCTTCTCACCTTGCTGCCCTCCTTGCAGGACATCAAGCGCTGCCTGAACGCACTGGAGGAGCTGGGCACCCTCCAGGTCACCTCTCACATCCTCCAGAAGCACACCGACGTGGTGGCCACGCTGAAAAAGGTAGAGGCAGAGGGTGGGGATCCCCACCCTGGGGGTGGGGGGAGGGAGGAGCCTCCTGGGGCCACCCCAGCTCCCAGGGCATCCCCCCCCTCCTCTCCTCTGGGCGCAGATCCGTCGCTACAAAGCCAACAAGGAGGTGATGGAGAAAGCTGCTGAAGTCTACACCCGCTTGAAGTCACGTGTCCTGGGACCAAAGCTGGAGGCCATCCAGAAAGCCAACAAAGCTGGGCAGGAGAAGGACAAGGGGGAGGCAGAGAAGGGCCAGGAGAAGCTGGCGGGAGGGGAAACACGGAGTGAGAAGGGGGAAGAGGAGACAAATGCTGGTAAATGCCCCCTGCACGTCTCAGGGTGGGTTGTAGTGAGCCCAGGGCCCTTCTCGGGGCAGTTCCCATCCTGCTGGGCAGTGGGGACACCAACAGGGGTGGCCCTTGGCCTCGGGGGGGGCAGGGGATCAGCCACCTTGTGTGGCCCCTCCACTCCCTCCTTCACTGGAGGGCCAAGAGGGGGAAAGGAGCCTGGAATGCTGGCAGCAGGGAGGGGAGGGTGAATCTTGCCCACACCCTGTCTGTGGGCACCTCAGGGCTGGTTTTGGGGCCAGCCCAAGGCACTGGGGGGCCCGGAGCCACGCGGAGACGCCCTTGGCCTCTGGCTCTGGCTCTTGAGCAGACAGCTGGTGACCAGGATCTTCCACCCTCGCCCTGAGTCCATCCTGGTGGTGCTGCAAGAGCCTTCCCAGAGGAGCTGGTGGGGAAAACCCACTCCTGGGCGTGGGGGATGGAATTTTTGGGGCCCTTCTCAGAGCTATGGGGGTCAGGGGTCCCCTCGTTCTCGGCTGAACATCCCTTGCCTGGACGGGGACAACCTGTGGGCACAGATCCTCAGCCCCTCGTGGGTCAGGATGGATGAGGGGGGGGTCCTAAGGGCCTGAGCCCCCCTCCCTCTTCCCTCCAGACCTGTCGGGGCCTGTGAATG